GCTGATGCTGATTAAATGCAATTTGCTCATATCGATAAATCAGTCGGGCTCTGCTACTATATACATAAAAAAAAAAAAAAACAGTATAGAGCAAAAAAGGAGCTAGCAGTCAACTTTTAATAATTTGATTTAGGAAAAAGTAGTGTAGCACAATACCTAACCTGTCTTAATCACAGGTTTTGAAAGTAACATGATCTCAGGTGGCATAGCCTGCACTCTTCTATAGTCGTATGTTATTTAAAAATGTTTTTAAAAAATGTTCTGACACCACAAAGTATACATTTATTTTTTTTTACAAGATCTTTGTCAGCACAATGTAATAGAGATTTTAGAAATGCCAACAGCATTCACACCCCATGGTTGTTACTGCTGCTTAAACACTATCTCAGCATGCCCAGTACACCGAATTAGCATTCCAGTGCGATTAACTGGTCTTAACACTTGTTCTTTTTTTTTGCCTGCTGATCTGCACAGAAATTGTGGCTATTAAAGAGAAAAACTGTAGAGAGCAGATCTGTAGTACATGCCAGAATTTCATTAGAGCTGTAACTGGATCCATTGTATGGCATGACTCATGAATTTTACCAATTTGGCCGTTTTACCATCGGTCATAATTGGCAGTTGTGTCTGCATAGCATTGGGCGGAGTGATTTCTCAATGACTGATTACTTTGGCAGGAAGAAACTTTCATGTGGGAATAGTAATTTCTTCTCCCATTCAGAAGCTGAGGGATGTTCAGCCGTGGGTTTCTTTCCATGCATTCAAATTCACAACGTGTTTCCCTAAATCCCCATAAAACCCTTTAGTCCTCTCAGTATAGTGTGGCTACAATAACAAATGCACATTAAAGTATAGATATGTGGTGCCTATCAACGCTGGATTACTGTGATTGATTGAAGAAATAAAACACTGATCATTTAGTTTACACTTTTTCCTTCCTGAGAAAAATGGTTGTTGCCAGATCGTTTCCCTGCCCTGGCACTCTGCTGAAACGTGAAATGGAGCGTGGAGAAATGCCTGGCCAATACTACTGACTGATTTACTTTCTTTCCAACTGCATCCCCATTTCAACAGTGCTCACCAACAAACAACCCATTAGAGAGGTTCAAAATATTTTGAAATTGGTCAAATAAATCAATGATGGAATCCCATCAGGACATCCTTCACATTCCTTCTATGAGCATTTCTGTAATGGAGAAATTGACAGTAATGTCCTGTCAGCAATGTTAGTTTAAGCTGACAGAGGACAAAGTAATTTCTGTCAGATTTGTGTCATTAGACATCTGCTTATCATTGGCAAAATAAATGAAGAATATACATGTTGGTGTACACCCAGGGCGTGGACTTCTTATCAACGTCCTCAGAATATAAATGTGAATGTGGAACACACGGTAGAGGATATGCTCCAATACTACACTGTACACTGAACAGTTTTAATTACTCAACAGTGAATAACGACTAATGAACAGAGGGATGAGTTGGCTTACTTCATATCAACATAACATTTTACCTGCTAGACAGAGCACCTTATTTTGAGAGTAAAGCAGTCTCAATCATATTCATCAGTGTTGTCAAATCAAGGCTAAGAGTCTGCTGCCATGCTAGCATCACTATGAGGCTGTATTTTAGGGTGACCAGACGTCCCCGTTTTCCGGGGACAGTCCCTGGTTTTGGTGGCCTGTCCCCGTCTGGAGATGTCCCCGGAAATGTCCCCGTTTTTAACTGTGTGTTAATCATAGAGTGTATAAGGTGTTAACAGACAGTGAATGCTGTCCATGGGAGTGCGCGTAGGATGTCAAGGCTGTATCGCCCAGTCTTTATATGACTACAGCTGCTTTTATCTGGATCAAACAGACATAACGTGCAAATACACATCAGCTTATGTCCATGGTATGTCTTTGTGATACTTTAACATTTCTTTTAACGGAGTATGTTTGCAGTTTATAGCGTAACCAGGTATGACTTTTTTTTATTATTATAAGCAATAATAGAAGCTGTTGTTGCAGATGGATTATGTGTTTGGTAGGCCTATGTCTAATATCCTTGTTTATATTTGGAAAAGCCTATAATTAACATGACTTGCTGCTGAGTTACACAGTAGGCTACATAAAATAAATATGCAATTATTTAACTCGCTGTGTGCCAACCAATCCAGTCCTTTTTACCTGTTGAAATAACTTTAAATGGCCAATACAACCCATGTAATGCAGTATTCCACTTGCCAGAAAGTGATTGCAGCTTCTACTTATTGACTGAAAGGTTATTTTTGCCTCAAAATTACTTGATTTCTTTCAGAAGAGTTGTATTTGACAGATTATAAAACTGAAATTGTCCCTCTTTTTCAATTAATTTATAATAAGAGTATAGCCTATATTTTAATGACATAGGCTACTGACCACCAAACCAAAAATGTCCCCAGTTTTCATTTCAGAATTCTGGTCACCTTACTGTATTTAGGTGCTAGAGCTAAACGCCAACGTCAGCTAACAAGATAGTAAGTAAGATAGTTAGCATAATAATATAATTAGTTTACCATGTTCACCATCTTAGCTTTCTAACATTAGCTAATTAGCACTAAACAAAGTACAGTTGAGACTGAGGGAAATGCCATAGTTTTACAGGTATTTGGTCACAACCAGCTACAGAAAGTACAATACTGAACTGATGACTGCACTAGTTGAAAAGTCAAGGGATCATCCTGCCATCTAGACATCTCACTTAAAACCACACGTCAACCTTGTGCTGGTGCTCTAGGAAAAGCAAGGGGATCACCAAAGTCAGTTGGCTGCATCCTCTGGGGACTATTAATGTCTGTACAAGGGTTCAGGGCAATCCATCCAATAGTTGTTGAGAAATGTCAGTCTGGACCAAAGTGGTGGACCGACTGACCAACAAAGTAGATCCTAAAGCCATGCCACTTGCAATGTTACAAAATGTGAAAACCCTGAACTGAGCCATAAAACTATACCACAGTCAGTTCCTAGTACAGTAATTTAAAAAATTCAGATTTAGATTTAGTGGGTTTGTAGCTGACATTAATTTTTTTTAAATTAAACATCAAAGCCTCTGTGGGCTGTCATCAATTTTATGATTTACATAAATGATAACAATACACTATAAGCACACAAACTATCAAAAATGATTCGTAAGGACAGTGTAACAGCCCTCTCTGACTCTAAGATAAACTTTCCTTTGAATTAGAAGGAGAAGGTCTTTCAGTCCCAGTGATGAATCAGCAGCACAGAAAGATAAATTTAATTGTAAAAACTGTAGGGCCATACCATTAATATACATTATACAGTATCACACAGTGAATTAGGGTACAATTGTATGGGGGAATAGTCCAGTAGTCTCACTTTGTCTGACAGACGAAGCAAAATGCACTAAGACAATCATAAATCAAAGCGCATGCTCAACAAGCCAGAATTTCAATCAGTACAACTATTTGTATTTACAGTACATTTTGTCCCCATAAATCTATGGTAAAACTTACATAAGCCAGCTACAGGACTCTTCATAATAAACCAACCAAGACAGAACTCGTTTAGCTTTAAATCGTTAAGCAGTGAGTTGGAAAAGGAAGAGGATTAGACATCATGTAAACACTTGTTTCTAATTCAGTTCTGATCTGAGATGGCAGATGTTAGACTAGGATGTTAGAGATACATTAGCAAAAATCACCCGAAAACAGAACAAGTTTGAAAAATGCTACAAAGTGATTTAAGAGGAAACCACTCTTGACTAAATATATAAGTAATGATGACTGAGAGCTTTACAGCCGTTCATAAATGTCAGTGCTCAGTTGTAATCACAGTCATATTTACTAAACCTTTTGCTTTTCGTTTCTGTGCCTGAAGCCATTCAATGTTTTTATCAAACTAGCTGATCTCAGACAAATTCCGCCACTAAACTGCACCTTTTGACATTTCCTTCATTCACAAAATGCGTGCAGAAGCTGGTCCAAGTCACTGATTCTGAAATTAGCTGCTGTCTTAGCAAATTAGACCCAAGTGCATGCAGACTGTGAGTGTAAATTAAACAAAGGACACATACATTTTGCACTGTGATTTCATGTACATAAATCTCCCCTTCGACAATTCACGTTACATTTGCCGACAATTCCAAAAGGTGGTGTAACTGGTTGCTGACTAATTAGCACCAGCCACCAGTCAAATGCTGGTAAAATATGGAAGTGACTGGTAGACACAAAATTATGATTACTATTTTACTAATTACTATTGGCTGGCTGGTTTAATAACATTATGTGTCAGTGGATGGAAGATGTTTACATTTTAAAATGTCCCCTGCTCAACAGCATCCTTCAGATTGTCCTGAATGATAATCAGTTGATAGGTTCAGAGAATTTGCTTTAGCCCATCTACACCTATGTGTGGAATCCAAAACATTCAACCACAACATCAAGCAATAACAAGAGAGCACACACTGTTTCTATTTCACAAGGTCACAGCTGGGGCATGACCTTATCCCAGCATGCACTTGAAAAAAAGCAAGGACACACCCTTTATTCTTTGCTAGGTCATCACAGGGTTAACACACTAACATATGCCAATCGAACCTATGGGCAAATAATAACAAAAAAAATCTTCAGTCTACCTGAGCTGCATGTCTGAAGGAAACCCAAAGAGAAAATGCACAATTAAAACAAGAAGAGCAATGGCAGAGATTCAAACTCATAACCTTCTTGCTGTAAGACAATAACAGTCCTAAACACTGAACCACCACAGTGCAAGTCTATATTATTTAAGACAAAATAAGAAAAGGAGAAAGACAGTTATAAATATTGACTTCAGCAGCTTACTTCAATTCCAGACTGGAAAAAAACATGTAATTCAACTAAAATAAATAAACAGCCATGTCACAAACAAGAAATCAATATCAACTTTGAATAATGTAACGGCGTGGAGCTCTATGGGCAGGTTGATTAAAACACCACAAGACAGATGACTTGGTGAAAGTAAGAGAAGGAATGAAAGGCTTACACTGTGTTGCATTGTCCTCCACACAACCCTCTGGGAGCAGCAGAGAAATGAAGAAGAAAGAGATTTAATTGGACATCGGAGAAATAGAGAGACTGAGAGGGGAGAATAGAAGCACAAGAATGTCTATTAGTTAGTGAAGCGAAAAGTTAAATGATAAATGGTCCGCTGAAATATTCCATCCACCAGCCTCATCTCACTATGAGATTTGGTACCTCAAACCATTTTATTCACAATAAATTTCCCACTGTGAAATCAGTTTAAAATCTACTGCAATCAATGCAAATACTGGGACCTGCATACAAACAGCAGCGTTACATGGATAATTAGTTTGAGGTGGTCTAATAATAGTAGTTATTTCATTCAATGCAATCAACTCAGCTATATACATAATTACTTTTTACATTTGTGTCTAGCACAGACATATTTCAGTATTATACCCATCCTGCCTCATCAATTAACACAAGGAAATGCAGACACAGAGTGGGTGGTGAAGTCCCAGAACAACCCAACTCACTTTTCTTAGAAGAATCTTTCCCTTCTCCATTCCTCTTTTACAAGAAATTGGCCTGAGAGCATGTAAACACAAATTAATAAAGATAGGGAAACCAGTTGTTTCCTCTGCTTTTGCCTTTTAGTATTTTTTTCCTTTCACGCCCTTTTGGATGTGTAGAATTTTACAGATTTTACAGATATGCTGAATTCTAACATATTAAAGTGTAGGGGCCTACTAAATACAGTTAAAAGAAAAGACTGTTTCTTTACATGTGGGATCTTTAATGGGAAAACTACAACGTCCATGATGCTTTGCTCTTTGTGAATTCCAGTGTCATGATAACTTAACCAATGTAATTTCAACTTCAGTACAGTTCTGAAGGTGAGCTTAGTAGTTCCACAGTGGAGGCACCGCGCTATTATTGTTCTTACACACATTGTTTATTTGTTGTCTATGCCTACTTATCCTGCCTGAAGTCACTTACCGAATATTAGTAAACAGGGAATATTTAGCCAGCTCGCCATCAACAGCTAAGAACCCAGGATCCTGTTTAACACACTTTTAATATAGTAGCCCGGTGTGATTGTAAGGTACACCTTAGGTCTTGTTTGATCAGCTCTACTGTTACTGGTCTAAAGGGTTACAAAAGGATCAAGCCATGTTTCACAAAACCATTGTAGTACACTTAAAGTGTTTATTTCTTAAACTTATATATAGAATTTAGTATAGACTACTTATAATGACAGACACAATACACTTGGCAGCCTTTAATCTGCTTCTTTGCTACTACATATTTTCCATTTTAATCCTGTCAAACAACTTATACGGCAGGTGATTATCAACTGTGCCTTTTACTTAAAAAGGACAATAATGTATTTAATAAATGGATTTGCCAATTGGAGAGAGGATTACAGACATATTTGTTAAATGGATTGGTCAAAGGACAAATCGGTATCGTAAAAAAGAAAGAATGTTTAATAGTATCTAATCCATGGCCTGACATGTTGTAGTTATTATTCCACTGAAATGTCTTTCAGTGGAATCTATTCATAACACTAACGTTTTTGTTAAAGAGATAAATTCAAATTCAAACAAAACCAATTACCATACTGTATGTTACTCATTATCTCTGCTTACACTACAGAAGTTTGTTTTAATTACCAGTCCTCCTTTAAACATCAGAGTTGTGGGATGTGGTTTAACATCTTGTCAACTTGAGGGCCTCTGTGTTGCTATATAGAGGAGCTTGACACAGACAGCCTCCTACACATTGTGTTTCAGTGGCGTGAGATGGTGCAATGGATCTTTTCATAGCCTCAATTAATGTCTTAGGATTTGTCATCGTCCTGAAGTTGGGTGGGTGGATGTTGAATCTGTTTTCTCTTTAAGACTGATTCTCAGAGCAGTGCAGTTTCTGGGAAAAGGGCATAGGACTTTTTTGTGATTAGCTACATTTCATAATCTGTTCTAGTGGTTTCTTCACTTTTCCTGCAGTAATACGCACTGAGGAATATATCCTACACAAAATGTCTAAGTAGGTTATGTGGAAAAGCATGTGGCTTTTTGACATCTCTGCAACCTCTAGCACTGAGAGTGTAAGAAAGTGAAATATTTTAACTCTGTGTCTATGTGGACTACATCAACATGGATTTATAATGATTTTTCTTGGACTCTTCGAAGGCCTCTATTTTTTTCTGGCCTTTAGCCTTGAGCCCTGGTAAGTTGGCCTTAAGTTCAGTATGCCTCCACCAAGTCTTGTACTCAACACAGTTCTGGAAAGCTCTGAAAATCAGCTGAGCTGTTGAAATCTGGAGTGAGAAAGGAAGAATAAGACATCTTCTACAGACTTCTCTTATAAAATCATCATGATTTTTCAGCTTCGTCCTTAATTAGGCTTCAAAGCCACCAATGATAGATTTATTTGATTTATATTATTCATTATTTTAGGAATGCATTGGATTTATCTCACAAATGATCCGACCAAAGATTAATTTCTACTTTACTGAGCATTTGCATGCCTATTTTTTTATCCTATTGTTAATTTTGATAGTTTTTTCACCATTTCTCTTTCGATTTAACACCATAAATGGCCTGTAAAGATTTTTTATATTTTATTTTGCTATTCATTAATTTTTTATATGTATCCCAATTGCATTTTACAATATTGGCCTTCTTTTCTTGTCTCTGAACGTACCAGTCTATCCAAGCTTGTTCCAGCTGCTGTGGTTGGCCTCTCCTCAGGGGTGTAGGGTCTGAAGCGAGCACTGAACACATCTGAGATGCCACGTGCAGACCTGCCTATTCCTGATGGCTTTGGTTGGCCACACCCTTGAAAAACCTAAAATGAACAGAGGGAGATACAATTACCACAGAGAGGGGGCAAGCACAAGGGAAACATGAAAGAGGATGCAGACTGGTCAATGTCTAAAGAGTATTTAGCATTTACAGTATCTTGAGGATATTGCCTTGTTTTGCAATATTAACACAATCTTTATTCTTTAGTCTTAGATGTGAGCTTCTCATGGCAGTGCAAAGCTGCATGAACTCTACACGGAGCCTGAGATAAGTCTATTTCTTTTTTAGAATAGACATCCAGTTTGATCTGTGGTGTATAACATATGTGCATTTGACCATTACAGTTTAACATAATGCTCTGTAGCTGGGGACAGTGAACCCTTATGGGGACAGTGAACCCTCCTATAGAACTTGACCCCTGACTCAGAGCTGGAGAGAGGCACAGCGAACCCTTAAGGGGAAGTAATGATTGATGGGTGTGCAAAGAGTGAACCCTACTATGAAATTTGACCTCTGACCCAGTGGTAGGGGGAGTAGAGGTTAGTGTGTATGAAGGGACTGTGCCCTTATATGGTTTTTAGCAGAGACCTAAACATGTCCTATATAAGCTGTGTTCGATGTACAGAGAGACAGAGTGGCCATCGGGCTGGGTCACTCTCCAAGCTGCTGCAGAGCTTGTAATTGATGCTGAATTCGTTGATGTAATAAACTTTTATAATCAAGAACAGTGTCAAGCGGATTTCTTCTCAACACATCATCGCAGCATTATCGTTCGGACACCACAGATCCCACAAACGTTGTAGTTTGCCTATATCACTGGCATTTTTCCCTTGAAAAGCCTGTGTCAATTTGCTCACAGCACCATTCTGGACTGTGATTTGAGATAGAAAACTATATAGAAGCAGCCTGGAACCAATGCTGTCTATCAGTGCCAGAGTCTCCTTTCACAGAAAGTGTCATATTGGTGGCAAAAGATGACTTAACCCTTGATATGTTGTTACTCGCTTGCAATTGAAAGCCATTGTTATGACATAGTATCGTTAAAACGAAACAGACCTTATATATTTGACCATTAACTTCTAGGTCAAAAACACTCTTTGGCAAATTTAACACAAGAATACAATCAAAATTGTTAGTGTATGAAACAAATGAAAGTATTTGTTTTTAATGTGGCCGATAACATATCTTCTTCCATGTCATGAATTGGCCTGTTTTTTATGAAAGATTTTGTATAGACTGCTGAGTGACACACAGAAAATAACTGTATATCAGAGAACACTGTACTCGTGGACAAACACTGAATGTTACAAAGGGACAGTAAATAAAAGTTTTATTGTATATGCTGAGACAAAAATAGAAGTGCAGATCTATTATTACTTGAACCTCACATTAATCGATATGTAGTTCATAGAGGTTCATTGTGAGAATAAATTGTTTTCAGTTGGCTTGGTCTCAACAGGCTCTTAGGGCCCAAACAACACACCTCCAAACAGCACAGCTCATTAGCATTCCTCTCTGGCCTGTCTGCTGGCCCCTGGCTCAGTATGTGATGGAGCACTCTAATGTGCTACATGGCTGTCAAGACAAGAGGCTGTCTTTTCTCTAATATTTATCAATTCGTCACCGTGATTACAATTCCATCGTCCTGAACATCACACAAGCAGGAATGAAAGTACAATGCAACTTGGCCTGACATATTCTGCAGAGCTTGGTGATTGGGGAAGGATTACATATGGTTAAAATGTGAATGTGGGGAAAGATTGTAATCTCAGAGCAATCTGTCAGGCACAACCTTGCACGGATGGCGCGTCAAGTACAGAGACAATGGGTACAGTTGTAAATTGCAGCCCCGTTGATATGGAAAAGAATGAGACATCTAATTCACACTGACCTTTGTAACTCTGGCATGGAGATAGGCCAGCATACACCAAAGGATCAGAATAAAACTTTGAACTAAAAAACCTTTTGACAAGAAAGACAGTGAAAAACAATTCGGTGTGTGATAATATGCTGATTGAGCTGCCTCAAATTTAAAACTATTGCAAAGACTGATTAGCAATTTGAACTCTGAAGAGACTGAAGAGGAAATTAGTTGCGTCTCTTGCATGATAAACTGTCTCCTCTTAAAAAAAATCACCTTTATATACTACTAAGTGTTTTGCCAATTACATTTTGGAGGAAACGTGTAGACCAGTTCTCATCTTGCATCCCAGGTGTGGTTAGGTTTAGACCACCAAAACACTTCAGCTGCGTTCAGACTGCAGGCCACTGTGACCCAATCCGATTTTTTTGCCCATATGTGAAGCAGATCTGATCTTTTTATGACAGTGTGAACAGGCCAAGTCACATGAAATCTAATCTTTTCCAGTTCGGATTTGGACTTTGTGACAGATACATTCAGGAAAAATGTTTCCTCACCATATTGATAAAAGCTTATTGTGATGTGGGATGTATGTTTGTTTGAAAATCTTTGCTTTTATTAATCAGTAGTATATAAACATGATTTTTAGGAGACATGGTTGTGCATTGAAGCCTGTCACTGTGTTTTAGAAACCATCCAACATATACTGAAGTTAAATTTTATATTTAAATTTTCTGGATTAAAAATAATGTTGCAACATTTAGAAATAACTAGGTTGAAGTAGATACATGCAACTCACTTAAAACGCTCATTTCCCCTTATCTTTTTCTTTTCACATTTTGTATAGTGTCATTGTAATTGTCCTGTCTATTGGTTTGTTTCCTGTAAATCTTTGTTATCCAGCATTTTGCACAAATTAATTAAATAAAAATGTCTTAAAAAATTATTTATGAATGCAGTTTATGTTTTCAGTGTAAAGATATATTACTTTATACAGTACCTTGGCTGACACTTGCATGCTGTTGTCCTGCATGGTCATTATAGCCTCAGAGATCTTGATGTCAACTGGCTCTATAACTGCCTCAATGTTGAAGGGTCCCTCCAGTCTGTCTGCCACCAGTAACATAGCATCTGTCATAACAGAGAGGACACATGTCAGCTCAGAGATATTAAACACTCAAACACAGAGAAATTTTACTACTTTTGTTTACACACACACACATCAATATGTTCACGTCATCTTTGAGCAGTAACAATACTCAATGAGAAACCCTCAGGGTTCTGTGCTCCATCATGTGTCTTTGACATAGGTCCAAGTAAGAGTACAAAGAACGGGGCCTTCTCCAAATGTGTTGACTGCCAATAATTACAAACACAAAAGGAACCTGCCAGTACCTTCATCTAAACACACAAACACACAGAGTCAGGGAGATAGAAGAACTCTGCAGGATATGTGATATCAAGTAGAAATAAAATTCCAATGTGCTAAATTTACAAATAGCTTATACATAAAACAAATCATTGATTTGCATACATGGCAATCACTCCAGTTACAGAGAATGACAAGACTTCTGATGTATTCATCTATCCATCCATCCATCGTCAACCGCTTATCCTGCGTACAGGGTCGCGGGGGTATTCATCTATTTGCTTTAGTATTTCTAGACTGTGAAAGTATGTCATTAAATAAATAAATTCATGTCTATATATCGTGCTATTTTTTACTTTTTAATTAGATCTCAGACACATAGTACTTAACTTAATTCTTTCTGTCAAACATGAGGTCCATAGGACACCAAAAGCAGGCAAATACTTAGCTTTACCATTTTGCATCACTGATGGTAAGTGATGAAATAAGGTACAGTATTATATTTGTTGTTTCTTTGTCTGTTTGCCAAAACCCAAACCTCTCACATCATCTAATCATGTCTTTAGAAAAGATCTATATTTTTCTCTGTGCCAAATGAACAGGTACAATAAAAACAGTCAAAAAAAGAGAAAAACTAAACAAAAAACAAAAAACAGGGACCATGACCTTATTACTCTGGATGAGTCTTGGCATGAATCAATACCTAAACAGATTACCCACCAAACTGTCACTTTATATTTTCATTAAAACAATGTGATATTAATATGTTCATATAGAGGGATGGTCTTATCGATCGTGTAAGCCTGGGAGATATCAGCTGTGAAAATAATGTGTTTGATATTTTCATTAGACTCCATCTTGTCACTCAAAAAAGTAATTGAAAGTCCAGCAAGTCTTATTTGAGGGGTTAGCACTGGTTAATTGGTAAGGGCAGATAATTTATTATTTGTTCAAACTTGCAAAATAGTCTGTAATCGGGACCTTTCTTTTGGAATACATGGGTTCTGACTCTAGGATCAGATTTTGTTAGAAATTCAAAGCAGAATTCAGAAAATATTCTTATTTTTAAATAATTTACACAGAGGAAGAAACCAAAATACAATTCCTAATTATTTCCTTTTAAAGAAAAGTACAAGTATTAAAGAAAAGGGATAGAGATATTCCATCTGTTATTGTCAACAAATTCAAACACAACAGTGCTTTACTCCGTCTCTGAATACATTCTGACATCCCCAGTCTGTCTGTGACACTTACTTGCAAGCCAACTGGTTTCTACTGAAGATTAAATCTTTAAAATCACAAATACAGTTTATACTTTCATTTTGAAAAAAAGGCTAAATAAATTGAAGAAGTTGGGCACTGTAGTTTTTAGCCAGCAGTAGTCAAACTTGAGTAAATTGTGGTTATTTTGGGACTTTTTCCAGCTGTGGAATTGATGCACTAGTAAATGTTTACAGATGCAAGTATGTGGGATCAACTCAAAATAAATTACAGTGCCAAGGTTCATCATACAAAGGAACATATATAGCAATGCAAGATTATGGCACAGAGGCTACACAGAAAATACTTTTTGTGGAATTTGTTGACAATAAGAAAACTATAGTAAGTTATCTGCTGCTGTCTTATCATTGTCAAGGTTTCGTTGTGTCAGCACAGTTTACAATTCAGTTTCAAAATATCATCAGTGAGCTGTGAGAAAATTTGGGACTTTGGGAGCTACACTAAACTGATCACTTCAAATCAGGGCAAGAAGTCCTCATACATAAACGGCAAACCAGGTTATTGGTCACTTCCATAGTGGCATGACTGATGATGAGTGTTTTCTGATATGCCACTTTGTGGTTCAGGTATAATTATGTTTAGGCAACTGCTTTACCATAACCAAACTACTTGGTTATGGTTAAAATGTTGCTATATTGGTTGAAGGAAACCAATACTGGCTGACTGCTGGCATGAACTCTCGAGTGTCAAAGCTGCACTTTTAACATTGTGTATTGTAGCTTGGTATGGAAACTTATTCAGTAAGAAAAGCTTGGGAGCCTTGTAAAATTGACAAATGAGATCATTGGGGTAAGTCAGGTATAGCTCTCACAATTATAGTGTAACAGGCTGGCGCTGAGGAAAGCCAATACCATTCAAGATTGTCCCGGCCAGCCCTTGCAGAATGAGTTTGAGCTCCTGCCCTCAGGCTGGCATTTCAAAGTGCCTGTCATGAGACCTAAGGAACATAAAGTCTCCTTCTTCTCAGTGGCTATTGACAGGACAGGATATTAAGCTCACCCGCTTGACTGGGGGGAGTGATTTAGAGGACAGGTGAGTACAGAGAAGAGAGCACTAGCCTGTTTAAAGAGAGGTGAATTAAAAGCATAAAGATTAATACTCAAACCTGGTATTGGCAATTAACATTGGATTAAGTTGTAAAATTATCCAGGGGCCCTGTTTCAGCCTAGCAACCTTTCACTGCTTGACTTGATTGGATTTGAAAAGAGCACAAAAGTCAGTCCATTTATTTTTTGTACTCACTGTAGACTCCTTAAGATTTTAAAATTGCACAACAAATATTAAAACTATATAAAAATATAATTTATGGCCTAATACTTTACTTTTGGTACATAACTATTGTAGCATTTTGTAGTAACTGGAATCTTATATACCAGTTGTGTGCTGATTTACTATACATGTAAATTTTACCTTATTAATGTAAGTATTGTTTTATTTTGCTTTTGCATAGACCTACTGCAATTTCCTTATTGAGTTTAAACGGTTTATTTTTTATCTCATGGTTGATTAGTTTGAACTACACCTTTTCCATCTGCACATTCTGACATGCTTAATGAGAAAACCCAACCAGCATCTGGGACAAGCAAGCAGATATCTGGGATTGCCATTGTGAGATTTAGTGAAGAAAGAGACAGCTGACGGGTGCCTGGCCATGATCACGCAACACTAATTCTGACTACACCTGTTTTGCAAGTTTGTTGATAAAACATACAATTGGCTCACTCCTGCGTTATATCCAGTAACTGACATTATTTAATTTTAAACCCACAAGCATGTATAAAAAAAGTATAAAATGCAAGAAAATACAAATACCTTACAACCCTGGCACCATCTGGCAGTCTGATAACACTTTAGTATGTACATCATTTAAGCATATTGGACAAAAAAATATTAATAACTATAGTAGTATGTAGTATTAACTATATCATTTTTTTAAACTTATTTTTTCAAAATAAACAAATAAACATCAGAAATCAGAAATGTGCTTTTACAGTGTACTAAGTGAATAGACCTACTGATAGACCCTCTTCTTTCTGTTAGTGGCTGTACCTTTGAAGAGCACTCCTGTTTGTTTACTCTGGAGTCTCAAATTGGGCGTGATGCTTGGTTAGATTTCCATCAGAAGCTGGCTGAAGGTCATCGCAGGGGGCCAGCCCATGTCCTGTGAAGCCTTCAGCTACCTATGTTTAGCAGAGTACTGCTCTAACGCTACTGCAGAAAAAGCCTCAGTGAAATTTAGTGAGTAGAGGGGAAATTGGCAGCAATTCTGTTACTCATTCCATAAAGACTCAAATACCTAAATGATATCCTCCACCGAGTCCTGACAACCTATTTTTCATATAGCCTAATGAATATTTGATGGATTGCGAGTATGAGTCAGCCATATGAATTGAAGGAGGGTTACTTCTACATGCTTAAATAACTTCTGAAATTATGTCACATACTTGTACACTTTTTTAAAACGATGAGCTGATGATGAAAAGCATCTTAAAGATGAATCTGTTCTAACCATAAATCATTAGGAGGGCAAAGAAAAGCACACATTTCTGTGCTGTTTCAATTTAACACAATGTTTAGCTTGTATGTCATACCATCTATAGCCTACTATCACATAATTGGGTAAAAGTACTTGATACTTGTCCTGAAAGGGGGTTTGTTGTTGTCCTTCTTTATTTGGAATGGCATTTAGATTAAGCCACACTCACAATCGTGACACATTGTTTGAAACCACACAGCCTCAGGATTCTGTTTGTGGAAACTATTTGAAAATTCCCAAATCTCTGCAACAGTTGCTTATTTTGTTTAACTTTCATGGACTAATTGTAACTTTTAGATGGTTGAGTCCAAAGAGTTAACTTTCAGAAGAGACTAGGATCAGGACTTCATTCAAAGGGGTTAGGGGAAACTGCCAGATTTGGATTATCAATAAACATTCAAATAGATTTTTAAACTTAAAAATGCCTTTGAATACGGTTCCTGATGATGTATACAAACTGAGAGATCATTTACACTTTTTCAGTTCTTTGTTGCAAATTTTTGATTCTATCAATATCACTCTTTTAACTAGGATTATTAACCAAAGCACATATTTTATAAATTATTTTTTAAAATGCTTTTCTGTTTTCCCCTTTATCTGATATTTGTTTGGGCATCAGTTTCATGTAATGATAAAATAGTTAATTTGCCTTGTGTATTAACAAATAAACAATCGATTTGTACCACTGATCATCCATTTATTCATTGACTAACACAGTGGGTTTTATTAGCATGGCTGTTTGCTGCTGGCTGCATGGTGCCAACTTTTTTTTTTTGGCTTCAGGCTGCAAGCTTGGTTATTTTCTAATGGAAAACTCTATTTTTTTTCTCACCCAGAGGGATTTGGAGAGACTCCAAACAAACTACCTGCAGAGTGAGTCCCTTGGAGGACAAAACAGTAATTCATGTGTGAATCTGTGACAAATTTACAACTTTTTTGTGAGCA